TGCAGTCTAGGTGATGTACCCTATGCGGTGCAATCTGAGTTGTTCAATATGTGAGGTGCAATCTACGTGGTGCAACTCACCCTGCCGAACTTGAAGTTCTCATCTCCACTGCTCGCGCAATCATCCCACCCACTCACCAACAACTTGGTTTGCAAAACCCATGCGGCGGCGATTGCGATTACTGCTCAGCGCTGGCTGGCGTATCGCCGCCGCCGCGCCAGCGCGCATGCTCGCGCGCAAAGCGGCTAGCTAGTTTGGCGCCACCGACGCGGCCGCGGTGGCAGGGACCGCTCGACGCTTCCCAATGGATGCTTCAGTGCGAGTCGGCGACTTGGGCGGGCGCGGTATCATGGTAACGTCGACAACGGTAGACACGATCATGGTAGTAGCGATGCTGGTGACGATGATGACGACGACGACGGCACGGCAAGTGACGGCACCGATGCTGATCACGCCGGCGACGATGACGGCGTCATCGCGTCGGTGACGAAGGTTTTGGAAGGAGTTTGGCATGGACGCGCGATAGTGGCCCGCGTGGCACTATTTGACACGAGTCGTGCCCCCCTCTAGCACGCGTGCAAAGGCGTTCGAGTGATTCCGACATGCGGCGCGAGATGCCAGCTATGAGCATGTTGGAAATGTGGGATGTCCTCATGAGCCCCGCAGGAGCGCGAGCGCGTGCGTTTTTTTGTTGTGAACTGAACTTGCAGTACCATTTGCGTTTAAACGTTGTTCGGGACAGTGGAATTTGACATCCCACCGAAACCTATGGTTTCTGAAAGATTTCCGCATGCGCGCGCGACGACGCACGCGTGCGCTTGCTGTTCCATTATTTGCCAGGGGTTCTTGTGACAACACGCGCGCAAAGGGAGTTCGAGCGATTTCGACACGGGGGCGCGAGAAACCCGTTTGGTAGCATTTGCTGAACATGTTGAAATAATATGGTTTGCTCAAGAATATGCAAACTCGCGAGCGCCGTTTTTCTTCTATACCAAAACATCATGTCGCGATGCCATGTGTTTTTTTATGTGCTGCCGCGACACTCGATTTTGTATCCCCTGCGAAACCCAAGGTTTTCGTCAGGATTTCCACATGCTCGCGCGACGACGCGCGCGTGCGCACTACGTGCCATTTATTGCGACTGATTCTTCAGAACTGATGCTTGTTGATAAACGAGCGCGCGCGACAAGTTTTATTTGCGGAGGATGAGGAGGGCAACCGTGGGATGTTCTTTAGGGGATAATCTGGTTCGTTTTGGGGATGGGCGATGGGCAGAATCGTGTATATATATATATATATATATATATATATAGCAACACGAAAAGGGGGACCGTCAATTTCGGGGGCTGGGTCCTATTACATTACATGTAGAAAGGATCTGTTTGTAGTGCGTTCGGCGTGGTGCAATATATGCTGCGCGTTCCTGTTTGGTGCCATCTACGTAGGGCAATCTATGTGGTGCAATATGTATGGTTCACTCCTACGTGGCACAATCTACGTTGTGCAACTCATGTGGTGCAAATTGCGCGGTGCCATATAGGGTGCGCAAGCAACGTCGTGCAATCTATGGCGTGCATTCTGTGCGGTGCAGCCTTTGTGGTGCAATCTATGCGGCGCAGTCTGTGTTGTGCAGTCCAGGGCGGCAGCGGCGCGGCGACGCGGGGGCGACGCCGGCCACATAGCCGCGCCAGACCGAGGACACGGCCCAGAGGACGGGCGGCGAGGAAGCGGGGACGGAGCGGCGACGGAGGCCACATGGCCGCCAGACCGAAGCCACGGCCCAGTTTCCCGTAGGCCAGAAGCAAGAAGCCCTGAGTGCAACCACTGTTTTGGGAGTGCCACCGCCCGCTGGGGTGCCAGGCGGGGGATACGAGTAGGTCCCCGCCCCGCGCTGCCGGCCGCGCGCCTCAGCTCTGTCCTAGCCCGGCCTCGCCCCTCGAGTGCAGCCGGTGCGCTTGGGCACCCCCTGCTGGACCCGCTGGCCGGGCCCTCGCTTTTGGGCACGGGGGGATGACCGAGGTGCGAGCGATGTCCGCGTCTCGAGAGTCGCCTCGACTCGGTTCTGCTTTTTTGGGGGGGGGCTTCCCTGAGGCTTCTCATCGCCACGGCGGCTTCCGCCTCGGAGTTCTCGAGGAGGGGCCAGGGCAGATTCAAGGCGCATGTCAGCGGTGTTGCAATCCACCCGCCCTCCAAGCTCCCTCTCCACACAGGTCCCTACAATAGTGTATTTCCATTGCGGGAAGTGCCCCGTTGAAAAACAACCGTCTGATAATCCTCATTCGTACCAGATCACCCCTGGATCTTCAACACCACGAATCAAATTTATTGTCACGTCGTGGCAATTCTACATTGTGCCAGAACAACCTTCCTGGGACCTCAGCCGTGCGGATCGTTGAACCTGCTCAAGCTTTCAAGGCGAATGTGCCAGGCATTCAGGCGAGGGCCACATTCTGAGGAGGACTTGCCAGCCATCCTTGACGCTGTTGCTATTTTTCGGCCGAGTGTGCGCGGCGCTACCCGTCGGTCGTTTAAAGTAGGTATTGTGGAGTCCCTGATTCCAATCTACTTGAAGCGCCTTCCTACTTCCATGATCAAGTGGCTTCCCCTCTTCCCTCCTCTTCAGGGGCGGGTGGAGACCCAATCTACTTTCAACGCCTTCCTACTTCATGCTTCTACCTACTTCTTCCGACCGATGGGCAGTACGGGAGCTTCATTTTGAGAAGGACCCGCCTTCCATGCTTGAAGCTGTTGCAGCCTTCAGGCTACAGGATCACACGCTGTGCGGACCTCTCCGGCGAACCGCCCGGCCCGCCCTTTCGACACGGCGATGGGGGCGTGAGAAGGAGGGACGCATGGAGGAGGCAAAGGATGGGGGGGGGGGGAGGAGCAACATGGAGGAAGCGGGGTCCTAGAGGGCAGGCGCCCCGCTTAGGGGGCGTGAGAAGGGACGCATGGAGGAGGCAAAGGACGGGGGGGGGGGGGGGGCAACGTGGAGGAGCGCGGTCCCAGAGGGGGCAGGCGTGCCCCGATGGCTTCTGCTCGCCGCTCTCGGGCTTCCCGGTTTCGGGCTTCCCGTGGCCCTCCCCGGCGCCTCGGGACCGTCCGTCCAGGACCCGTGCCGCAGCAGGAGGAAGGAGGAGCAGGAGGAGAGGAGGAGGAGAGGAGGATGAGGAGCAGAGGAGGGGAACAAGGAGAGGAGGAGGAGGAGGAGGAAGGATGAGGAGGAGGAGGAGGAGGGGGAGGAGGCTTTTCGCAGTTCTGGTATGCTTTCTGAGGGTTCTCGGTGCTATACCAGCAGGGTTGACTTCTGAGAGACGTGGACGTTTTCGAAGGTCTGCGGGGCGTCCCGAAGGGAAGGGATGGGGCATGGTGTTGGAGGGCGGGAGGGGCGTACAGGGAGGAGGCGGGAGAGGGAGGAGACGAAGGAGACGGGGCAGGAGACGGGAGGGGTGCAGTCCTCGACCTCCCTCCCGCTTCCGCCCTTCCTCCTCGTGGGGCCCACCAGTACTGTTCTCTCCCTCCTTCTCGCTCTTCGTTTTCTTCCTCCTCGTCGTCCTCCTTCTCCTTCTCGTCTTCCTCCCTCTTGGGAGATGCGAGGGAGGATTGGATGGGCAAGGAGCATGTGTAACATGGGGGAGGCAGGAGGGAGGACGTAGGAGGATGTATGAGAATAGGGGGTGAGGAGGAGAGGAGGGGGAGGAGGAGGAGGAGGATGTAGGATGAAGGAGGAGGAGGAAGGAGGGAGGAAAGGAGGAGAGGAGATGGGAAGAGCTAGGAGAGAGATCCTTTCCCCCTTGCCCTCTTCTGCCTCCCTTGTTAAAAACCTTCGACATCTCCCCTCCTCCTCCTCCTCCTCCATCTTCTCCTCCTCCACCTCCTCCTCCTCCTCCTCCTCCTCCTCCTCCTCCTCCTCCTCCTCCTACCCCCCCCTTCTCCTGACCCTCCTCCTCCTCCTCCTCCTCCTCCTCCTCCTCAAACCTCCTCCTCCATCCCCTATCTTCGTCACTAGCCTCTTCTTCCTCCTCCTCCTCCTTCTCCTCCTCCTCCTCCCTCTTTCCCTCCTCTATCCGCCCCTCCCCCCCCCCCTTCTTCTCCCCCCCTCACTCCCTCCCACCCTCCCGCCCTCCTCCCTTCTCCTCCTCCTCTTTTCCTCCCCCTCTCCCTCCTCCCCTCCCTCCTCCTCCGCCTTCCTCCTCCTCCTCCTCCTCCTCCTCCTCCTCTTCCTTCTCCTCCTCCTCCGCCTCCTCCTCCTCCTCCTCTCTTCCTCCGTTCCTCATTGTCCTCCTCCTCGTCCGTCGCATCCTCCTCCCTTTCTCGTCATTGTCACCCAGACGTTGGCTGATGAGCAGGAGGAGCAGCAGGGGGAGGAGCTCGGGACTGGTGCGTGTGGCGATGGCCTCGCCGCAGGGCCTCTGCGTCCGATCCTGGTGGTGCGTGACGAAGATGTACATCCGGGCAGCCCCTGCCTCGGCTCGGCTCCACGGGGTGGCATCCCCGCAGGCCTTGCGCTGCGGGGGGATAGGCTCGGTCGGGAAGCTGACCAACGTGTTGGGACGTGTTCTATCTGTTGCGCACCGTCGAGTAAATTCCAGGGGGGCCGGGATCGTCCTGAACGGCCGTTGGAGACCCGAATTATGACCTGAAAGCCGGACTCGATACCACATGGTGGCATTACAACAAGCTTTCTTGCAGTGCGAATGCCGAGACTCGGTCGCCAACGTCTCGAGGAATTCAGACTTCGCAGCCGACGGAGCCGCCAATTATGAAAATGCGCCCCCAGGAGATGACAACGTTCTTGGGTTCATGGTTTTCGAGGTCCGCCATACTTCCGCGTCCTGCCAGTCTGATTGCGGAGGCGCGATACCATGCATACCCGATCCCATGGGTACGTTCCGCGCGGAGCGTCCCCGCAGATACGCCCTGCACCCATGGAGTCGCGGCTCGAGGAGTCCAGACCGCGAGGCCGTGGCCAGATGCTTCCCGCCCGCGACTCGATGCGAGACCCGGGGGAGCACCGGGCCTTCCCGAAGTACACGCGTTCCCCACTTGGACGCTCCGACCATGCTGCTCCCTCTCCCTCTCCTCCTCCCTCCTCTTCCTCCTCCTCCTCCTCCTCCTCCTCCTCCTCCGCATCCTCCCCCTCCTCCTCCTCCTCCTCCTCCTCCTCTTCCTCCTCCCCCTTCTCCCTCCTCCTCCTCCTGCTCCTTCTCCCTTCTCCTCCTCCTCCTCCTCCTCCTCCTCCTACTCCTCCCCCTCCTGCTCCCCTCCGCAACCCTCGCCTTCCCACCCTCCTCCGTCCTCGCTCCATGACCTCTCCCCATCGCCCCCTTCCCCCTCTCGATGCTCGAATTTCCGTCATTTCTCCTCGTTCTCCCTACCCCCTCCCTCCCATGCACCTCCCCCCTCGTCATCCTCACTTTCCCATTCGTCCTCCCCTCCGCCTCCCCCTCCTCATCCGCCCTCCCCCACAATGTCACGGTCAAACACATGTAGGGCAATGTGTTACGCTTCACGACGCCTCTGCGATCGAGATCACGCGGCGCATACTGGCATGCTCCACAACCTGCAGCAAGAGCCAACACGCAGGTACTGCCCGCAAAGACACCGGTGGCAGCTCTACCAAGGCACGGTGATGCCATCGATGTAGATCGGCGCGGCAGCGTGGGCATTGACCAGACCATTTCCGCAGCAGCTCCGCAGAGAACATCAGGGAAGCGGAGACGGGGGAACAGCAGACGGGGTAGCCGCTGTGCAGTTTTGTGTTCCGGCCGTTGCAGTCTCTCCGTCGGGATCCCATTGGTGGGTCCGCTACCCCGCCCAGGCGTTAGCCAGCTTAGTCTTCCCTGAGAGCACAGAGGCGAACGGTTCGAGTCATCATTGGCGCACCCCGCGAGCAGACGACTGCCGAGCAGCCGGCGCGCGGCACCAGGGGCGCGAGCACCGGGAGCATCGACCCACCCCGCGCGATTGTCCATCCGGCGCTTCCAGCGAGCGCGGCGTGCGCAGAAGCCGTCTGCCCAAGCCGACCGCGCCAGCACGCACGACGGCAACGGCAGCGAGACCCCCAAAGCGACGACGACGCACGACGACCATGACCATGACCACGACGACGACGACCACACGACAGACCACACAACGACGACGCGCGACAACGACGACGACGACGACGACGGCAGCGAAATCCCACAAGCCCGAGACAGCCGGGCCAACCCCAGCATGAGTCGGAGTTGTGGTGCGACTGTGCCCGCAGGAGCACTCGCAGGGTGGAGGCTTTGTGGGCCCTGGAAACGGCAGGGCCGTTTTTTTACCGTTTCCCCAAAAATGTCCCTTGAAAATGGAAACGGCAAAAAAACGGCGACCGGAAACGACAACAAGAACGGCTCCAGGAGCCAGAACGGGTCTTAAAACGGCGACGGAACCCGTAAAAAAACGGCGTCGGAACTGGCAACAAAACGGCAAACCGGAACCGGTAACAAAAACGGCCCTGTCGTTCCCAGGGCCCACTAAGGGTGGAGGAGCCGATGCGGCGACAAAGGAAACCAAACACAGTGCACAGTTGTACCGCCGAGTGGTATGGCGATGGGCTGCCCAGATAGCCCAGCATCCGACAGAGCAGTGGACACGAAGAGCGCTGAATAGGAATCATAGGCAGAGCATCCAGCAACGAGGTTGGAGACACGTTGGAGGATAGGAGAAACAGTCGTGCGACGACGTACTGAAGTGCTTGCATAGTAGCGAGGGCTCAAGCGATGAAGCGAGGCAAAACAACACCAGCGACGTCACGAGAACGAGTCAGCACCGACACCACGAAACCAATCACACCAGATGGCTGCAGGCAGCGGCATAAAAGTGGTGGACCTCACCTGAGCATGATTTTAGCCTCAAGTCGGGCATGCCCTTCTACAGGAGGGATATTCGAGAATAGGCAAACATAGCATCGGGACCACATTTCGACCATTTGTTTAGGGCATCTGTTTGCTGACAGTTTGAATGTAACCTCCAAAAGCTGCCTGCAGGAGGACGTGGCCGACCGATTTTTGTTTGCCGCGTCCGAGAGGCGACGGCCCTGCGAGCCTCGCCCAAAACCTCTGCGCAGTCACGCTCGCCTCGCCGCATGCGCAGGTGCTGTGTGCCGCGCTACATCGGCGCCCCGCGCGCTCGTCCATTCGTCCTGCCTGCATTTCCCCCCCTGCCGCCCACCCCCCCATCCACCCCTTCCCCTTCGATCCTCCCCCCTTCCCCATGTGTGAGCCCCTCCTCCGCACCCCTCCCCGTCTCCTCCCTCTCTCTCTCCCTCCCCCTCCCCCCCCCTCCTCCTCCTCCTCCTCCTCCCTCTCTCCCTCTCTCTCTCTCTTTTCCCCTTCCTTTCCCCCCCCCCCCCCCCCCCCCCCCTCTATCTTTCTCTCTCTCTCTCTCTCGCTCCCCCACACTTCCCCCCTCCCCCCTTCGCCACCGCGTCGTGGATTCCAGCGAATTCCAGCGAACTCCCCCTCCCCCCTCCCCCCCGCAGCTCCCCGCACGTCTCCCCCCCCACCCCCCCTCTCTGACGCCTTCGCGGGGACGCAAGCCCTCTGCCCCATGGCGTGGGGTCCGAGCCGGGGGCTGCCCGACATCTGCACCTTCATCGCGGCGCTGCTGTGGGTGTGCCGCTCGGGTGCCGCCGGTCATCTTGCTAAGAGCCAGCCATCGATCGGGTCGCGGGTGTTCTGCTGACCCGGGCTTCCGACGTCCGGCCTGGTACTTCCGGCCCCAGGCTGGAGGAGGGGGACGGAGCAGAAGCGTGAGGGGGAGGTTCACTGCGAGGTGCACTGCCGTGGAGAAGGAGGAGGAGGAGGAGGGAGAGAGGAGTAGGAGGAGGAGGAGGAGAGGAAGGAGGAGGTGCAAGGAGCAGGGCAGGAGCAGAGCAGGACAGAAGCAGGAGGAGGAGGAGGAGGATGAGGTAAAAAGGAAGGAGAGGAGGAGGAGGAGGAGGAGAGAGGAGGAGATGATAGAGAGGGGGAGGGGGGGTAGGAGGATGGAGTGATGGAGATGGAGGAATCGGTGGAGGAGTGGCGGGGCTGAGAAGGAGGGATGGAGAAGGATGATGGAGAAGGAGGGAGGAGGAGGAGGAGGAGGAGGAAGGAGGAGGAGGAGGAAGATGGAGGGAGGAATGGAGAAGGATAGCGGGAGGCGGAGGGGGAGGAGGAGGAGGAGAGGATTGAGATGATAGCGGGGAAGGAGGAGAGGGGAGGCGGAGGAGGAGGAGGAGGCAAGATGACCTCGAGCCTGGACATCTCGACAGGCTCGCCTTCCTCCCCGAGGGGGGGGGGTCCCTCGGAGACAGCCTGATGGTGGGAGATCCGCAGGGATCGCCAGGCCGCAGAGCTCGGAGCGCCACGCTGCGCTGAGGCAAGATCCCGACGTGGCGACTCCTTCCAAAAACAAACTAAAAGAAAAATCATCAATTTCATCCTTCACAAAAACGGAAAAACGCTCAGCAGGAGGAGGAAGGAAGGAGGGAGGGAGGAAGGAGGAGGAGGGGGGGGGGGCGGGGAGGAGGAGGAGGAGGAGGAGGAGGAGGAGGAGGTACGGCCCTCTCCCCCGCCGCCGCTGCTGGATTCTCCTCGGACCCCTGGTCAGAGCGCACCCCCCCGAGGTCCGCAGGCCTGCGGCAGCGGCACATCCTGGCCCCCCCAGGCGTGGGCCCCCCCCCAGGGGCCCCGACCCCGCTCCCGAGGGCCGCGCCACGGGCGCTCCGCCTCGCCCCGCGGCCTCGACCCCTGGGGGCTCCTGGCCGGGGAGGGCCCGCCGGCGCCGTCGCGCCAGGCCGCCAGGAGCAGCACGACGCCAGAGACAGAACGGTGGCGAGACTCCATCCGATTCAATTAATTTTCCTTCAACTCAAAACGACGATCACTTCAGTTCAATCAACAACGAACACAGCGTGGCAGTGCGCTGCTCAGGAAGGAGGAGGAGAGGAGGAGGTGGAGGAGGAGAGAGGAGGAGGAGGATGAGGAGGAGGAGGAAGGAGGAGGAGGAGGAGGAGGAGGAGGAGGTGCCGATGCACCTGCACCGGCCCCCGCGGTCCGAAGGCGCACCCGCGGGCCACGGCCCCGCGGGCCCCGGCCCCGGGCCGCGGCCGACGCCCCAGGGGTGCGGGGCGCGCCCTGCGCGGGTGCCCCCCGCGCGCGAGGCGTATGAACCACGCGGCCGTGGCATCCACGGGGCCGCGAGAGGGCATCCACGGGGCCGGGCCCCCCGGAGTCCAGGCCGCGAGAGGGCGTGGGTCCTACGCGCGGGGCATCGAGAGGTCGTAGCGCTCACCCCGACAAGTCGGCGGAGGAACTCTGCACTGCTGCACTCGACGCTGGCATCCGAGCGTGCCGGTGCAGCCCCCAGCGGGTGTCGCTCCTCGATCTTCGGACTTCGATGAGCTGCACCGCTGGGGTGCACTCGGCATGCGTTGCTACATGCGCACGTGGGGTCCCCCGTATGGCAGCTTGCACGAAAGGGCGTTTTGCGGGAGGGCGGGTGCTGTCACTCCTCGAATGTGTTTGTGTTCGCTGTTCGTCAGAACATGCACCGCATCGGGAGGTCCGTCGTAAGGAAGTCACCACCCACCAAACCACCTACCCAACTCACCCCAAGAAGAGCCAATCCCGAAATGAATGCCTCAATTCGCCCTCCACCACCATTTCATCCAGGAGTGGGGGTGGTGGCGGGGCACATATAGAACCCGCCCCCCCCCCCCAAACACCCGAAATTTCGGTCTTTCCGGGTTGGGTTGGGGTGGTTGGGGTGGTCTGGTAGGTAGCCAGGGAGGGGAGGAAAGCGACACCACCACCACCAGCGGGCCGCGTCCGGAGAGAAGGTCCACGATGCGTCTCCCCGAGCCGGAGAAGGGGCCTTGCAGAGCAAGGGGGGCACGCCACTAGTTGGACCGCACGTGTTCCTGGCTTCCCGCGGTGGTGGCGCTGCCTGCCGATTGCCGTTGCTGATGGGCAACTTTTCCACCACCGCTGCCATATGCAGGACGGGGGAGAAGGGAGGATGAGGAGGTCCTCCTCTTCCTCCTCCTCCTCCTCCTCCTCCTCCTCCTCTTCCTCCTCCTCATCCTCCTCCTCCTCCTCGACTCCCCTCCTCCTCCTCCTCCTCCCCTCCTCCTCCTCCGCTCCTCCTCCTCCTCCCACCTCCTCCCTCCTCCAGTCTTCTTCGTCCTTTCTTCTCTCCCGCCTCCTCCGCCTCCGCCTCCTCCGCCTTCTCCGTCCTCCTCCTCCTCCTCCTCCTCCTCCTCCTCCTCCTCCGCCCTCTCCTACCTGTACTTGTGCTGGTGGGCAATGGGCCCATCCTCTGCGCCCGTGCCCGGGCAGCTCGCCGGCCCGTGGACCGCTCGAGGTCGGAGTGGTCGATCGGGGTCGCCGGTCGGGAGAGGTGCCCCCCGCACGTCGGGGGGGCGGGGCCGGGCCGGCGAGGCCCCCGGGTCCGCGGGCAAGGTTCGGCTACACGCAGGAGCGGCTTTTCGCTGGAGTGTCGGGCGAAGAGAACTATGCACATGCACCGATCCTGGCAAGGCCCATCTTTGACCCAGGATCGGTGCATATGCCTTCCTGGCCAAGGTAGGAGGGCGTATGCACCGATCCTGGGCTCAGGATGGGCCTGGCCAGAATCGGTGTATGTGCATAGTTTTTTTTCCTCTAGAGTGGCCTCTTGGGCGGCGAAAGAGCGGGGGGGGGGGAAACGAGAGAAGGGGGAGGCCTTCTCAGAAGGCGGCGGGACTTCTCTCAGGAGCCCTCGCGCCTTCGGAGAAGTTTTCGCTGTTTTCGGTGAAGGCTCGGAAACTGTCTCAGGAGGCCAGGGGACTTCCGAACCTTCGGAGAAGGCCTTCTCCTTCTCGCTTCCCTCCCTCGCTCGCCGCCAGCCTTGGGTGTGGGCACACTTGGGGTCTCCCGATGGCTGAATGTGGTGCGATAGCAGCGGCTCCCGCGCTCTGGTTCAGCCCCCCAGCGCCCCCCGAAAGTCGCGCACCAAAGGTCACTCTTGCCCAGAGTCAGTCTTGCGTGTGGCCGGAAGGCGCGGCTCGACTGGGGGGTGGGGGGGGGGCGACTCCCGAGGTGTGGTACCTCTGGAGGAGTACCACCCGCGAGGGAGACTTCGGGGGGGGAGGGGGGGGGACGCCAGGTTTGCACCCGCGCGCCGAAGTCTGCCTGGCCCACCCTGCGACCAGGACCTGGCGCGTGGTCTGCCCCGTCGCCCCCCCCACTCCTCTTTCTTCAACTCGCTCTTCTTCTGCTTCTCCTCCTCCTCCTCCTCCTCCTCCTCCTCTCCTCCTGGCCTCGTCCTCGCTCGCCTCGACCACCCTCCCTTTACTGGCCCCACATTCTCCTCCACGCCCTGCCCCCCCCTCCACCAGCTAGTCCGTCCGTCGTCGCCGTCGGTCCTCCCTCCTCATCCTTCTTCCTCCTCCTCCTCACCCCCCCATTTTCCCATCGACCATCCTCCATCCTCATCCGCCTTCCTCCCTCCTCCCTTCTCCTCCTCGCTCCTCCTCCTCCTCTTTGTCCCTCCTCTTCCCCCTCCTCCTCCTCCTCCTTCCCTCCTCCTCCTCCTTCTCCTCCTCCTTCTCCTCCTCCTCCTCCTCCTCCTCGTCTCCTTTCCCTCCACCTCCAATCCTCCCTCGCATCCTGCTTTTGCTCCTCCTCCTCCTCTCCTCCTTCCTCTTTGTCTCCTCCTCCTCCTCCTCCTCCTCGCTCCGCCTCCCTCCTCCTCGCTCCTTCCTTCTCCCTCTTCCTCCTCCATTCCTCTTCCCATCCTCCTCCTCCCTTTCCATCCCCCCTCCCTCCTCCATCATCCTCGCATCCTCCTCCCTCCTCCTCCTCCTCCTCCTCCTCCTCCTCCTCCTCCTCCTCCTCCTCCTTCTCCGCCATGGAGGCTTCGCGCGCACAGGTCCTGGGTCCGAGGATGTGCTTGGCTGGGTTTGGCGTAGGCGTGCAGCTGGCGTCCTTGCAGGAGAGGTCCCCCTCGGCCTGCTGGTGAGCATTTGGTTCACCACCGGCACCCTCAGCGTCGGCTGCTGCTCGCTATGCAACTGGGCCATGGTCCAGCTCTGGGCGTGGATGAACCCTTACTGCTACATCACGTATCCGGTGGACCCCAGGGGGCCTCGAGCGCTGCATGTCGGATGTCAGCGTTGCGTACGGGTTTTGCTTTCAGTTCCAGTGTGGTTATCTTTTTCGTTTGTTCTTCATGTTCTAGCTCCCTCTTTGTCTCTCTCTCTCTCTCTATATCCATCCCGCTTCATATGTATACATGTATATGTCAGTTTTTGAGTTCCTGTTTTGATTGTTCTCTCTCTCTCTCTCTCTCTTTCTCTTTCTCTCCTGAATGTGTCTCGGATTACAGTTCAGGTGCTGAGCCGTTTGGCTGTTGTGTGTGTGCGTGTGTGCGCGCGTGTGTGTGTGTGTGTGTGTGTCTGTGTGTGTGTGTGTGCGCGTGTGTGTGTGTGTGTGTGCGTGTGTTTGCGCCGGCAGCCTTTGTATTCGGGACCGTTTCGACCTTACTGCCTATATCGTGGTCCACGAAGACGAGCCGGGCGCGCGACGACGAAGCACACGGTGCCCCTGCGCGGGCGACTCGCGGCGGGACGCCCTGCCGGAGGGAGCACACACACAGCGCGGCGGTGCCGGCGGGCAGAGCCGCCACCTGGCCGTTGGCTGGTGAGCGATTTCTCATCCGGCGCTTGGACGCTGGGCGGGTATAGCCTCAAGTCGGGCCTGCCCCCCTACAGGGGGATGTTCGACGACAAATATAAAAAGATACCCCCCAACATGGTCAAACAAAACTCCAAACATAGTCTGGGGATGATTTTTTGGAGCGTTGTTCGACTTAAGTATAGCCAGGGCCCCAGGCAAGGAGACCCGGTCGGCGGTAGGGCCCCGGGGCCCTTGAGTTGGCCAGGATCACGAAGCCAGGTCTGCCGTAGCTGGGCCCCAGGTATAAGGGGACCCGGGCAGCGGTAGGGCCCCGGGGCCCTTGAATTTGCCAGGATCACGAAACCGGGTCTGCCGTATAGTTGGTGTTTGTTCTTCGGGTGGCGGCAGTGCCGGTCAGTGGAACGGGGCGGGGGGGCTTCCCCCAGCACGCAGCGCGAAACCAGGCTCCACGAAACCCAGTGCTGCCGACGCCCGATTTGGGCGGAAGGGGGGGTGGGGCTCTGGGTCCAGACTTTTTCAGGAGAGGAAAAAACACAGAGACACAATTCATCGTCGATCCCCAGGAAAATATGGGAAATATGGGAAGTGGGGGGGAAGACAAAAACCCAGAAAATATGTGAAACTATGGGGAATGTTTTTATTTGTGTATATTTCTGTGTGTGTGTGTGTGTGTCCTGGGGCCCCTTCACTTTTGGACTTTTGCTCAATGCGACTCTTTGCAGCATTGCGTCCTGTGGGGGGACTCCACCTGCTCGAAGCAGGCGCCGAAAACAGCCAAGGTCTACAGTACTCCACGGGAGGGGTAGGGAGGGGGGGGTGCGAGGGCCCGCGCCGATCGGCAAAAGTATGAATAGAACACCATCGCCTGGAGCGCGACAGTCGCGACGCGAGCGGCGCCGCTTGTTGAGCGGGGGCGCAGCAGCGCTTCCGCTGCGGCGTGGCGGTCGGGCCCGAATGGCCAACGGCTGGAGAGAGCCCATAAGATCCGACGTTCCAACAAAATTTGGAGCGGCGGGATTTTGGCAGTTTTCGGTCTCTGCCCATGGGGGCCCTCGCTGGAACTCGGGAGCGTCAAGACACGATTCAGGACGAAAAACCGGCACGGGGAAGTGGTCGGGAAAGTGGTCTGGACCTCCGGGGCCCACGCATCGAAAAGCAGCCGGGTGTCTGGGACGGAGGAGGCGGGATGGAGGGGTGTCGTTCATGCCTTTTGTCCTCATCCGCGGCGCGGTCGCACGCGGACCCCCGGCGCGCGAGATGCAAAAGAACAACTTCGCGCCCCGCGAGGTGGATCTCTTAGCCCTGCATGGGGGGGGGGAGCCATTTACTAATCGCAGGCTGACTTTCGCGGTGTCTACCGTGAAGGCCTTGCAGGCGGTGCCGCCGACCCTGAAGGCGGGACCTCCCTTGGGACCCACGCTGGCGACCCCCCCTGGACTCGCCGGGGACCTGGGACCCCTCCCCCTCCCCCCGCACCACAGGCGGGACATCCCCGATGAAGGACCTCGCCGGCGACCCCTCCCGGGACGGGGGGGGCGGTATACAGTCAACCTGCATAGTAAGGATGGGCAACCTTCCCAAGGGCACCCTTGCATCCTTGCATCCTCGGTCCATCCTTGGCCACTTTCGGGGGCCGCGCCCCGCGCGAGAAGCTCCGACGTGGGCGCCCAGGGCCCTTGCATCCTCATCGTGCCTCCTTAGGATACGGGCCGTCTGCATTCTGACCTGGGGCCCCCTCACCCACCTCAGGAGGGACATCCTCCTCCTCCTCCTCCGCCTCCTCGTCCTCCTCCTCCTCCTCCTCCTCCTCCTCCTCCTCCTCCTCCTCCTCCTCCTCCTCCTCCTCCTCCTCCCCCCGCTGGCCCCCCACACACCCCGGGACCCCGCCCTCCAAGGACCCACCTGGACCCCGCGGGGGGGGGCGGCCCTGACCCAGGACCCTGCAGGTGCCCCCCCCCTGCACAGGCGGGATCTCCCCCAGGACCCGCGCTGGCGACCACCCGTCCTGGGACCATCTGGGACCCCGACGGGGGGGAGGGCGGCATTCTGACCCAGGACCCCGCTTTCCAGCATGGAAGGGATAAAGGGAATCACCTTAAATACGACGTTCTTTTTCATAGCTCCTTAGGACTGACGACGATGACGACGAAGACGAAGACGACGACAGTGTCCTTCACACGCTCCAGGGTCTTCGGATCTCGCAAAACAGAGCTGTGTGTTTCTTCCCCGCAGGCGGATAACTGGCCCTGGGACTACACGTCTGGGAAGTGCATGATGATCAATGTGGTTCAATGGATCCTGACGGCTGGCATCATCGAGGAGTCCTTCAAGTTCGTGAGCCTCCTACGCCTGAGGCCAGAAAAAGGGCAATCTCCTCACACTCCCCCGTGTCACGCCCATCTCTCTCGCGCCACCATCCGTTCGTGTGTACCTAGGTGTGTCCCTCTTATCCCTCCGGATCGGTTTCCATCCGAGCGATTCGGTTGTAACAGGTACGATAATGACGCTGGTGATGAGGAGGCTGAGTAGGATGCGGATCATGATAACCATGCGTAGTATGAGGAGGACCACCATCGTGGTGATCACGAGACTGAGGAGACGGATGAGGATGCGGACGACGCTAGTTGTTATATCGAGTAGAGGTAGGAAAAGGGGTAGGAGCATTTGAGCAGTATCAGGAGACGCAGGATGAGCAGAACCAGGACGGGGCAGTGAGCGTCGATGTAGATGGTGGTGGTGATGATCATCATTGCCACGGCCATGATCATAGTTATAAGGAGGTGGTGTAGGCGGAGGAGGAGGAGCTTTTAGTGAGTGTAGGTGATTTGCCGCTGTCTCCCTCTCCTTCATCACCGTTTCCGCCGCAGCTCGCGTTTCTTGTGCCATCTCAGTTTCAGCGCTTTCTGGGCCGGCCTGGGTTTCGCCCCTTCTGCCTGGCTTCTGCTGGTGTCGGCGCCTCTTCTGGCATGCAGTGCAGCTTTTCCTGCGTCTCCGCCCCCGCCCCCTCGCTGGCCGCGTCCTGGAGCTGTTTTTTTTATTCGCCGTCTCCTCCAGCGCCCGGCCCTGGCTGCCCCGTGGCTGGCTGCGTCTGACTCTAGCCGGGACGTTCAGCTTTGCTAGCGCTCACACAGGGGTGAGGAGGAGGAGGAGGAGGAGGAGGAGGAGGAGGAGGAGGAGGAGGAGCAGGAGGAGGAGGAGGAGGAGGAGGAGGAGGAGGAGGTGGATAGCAGGAGGAGGAGGAGGAGGAGGAGGAGGAATGGGAGTCTGTGGGTAGGCAGTCGGCAGAAGAAGGGCGGCGAGATGAGAGAGGAGTGTGGTGGACAAGGGCGGATGGAGAGGGGGGGAGGCGGAGGGGGAGGAGGACAAGTGTTCACCAACGACGCATCAACGATGTTGCAATGAACCCTCCTTGCAAGCTCCCTCTTCATGGGTCCCTACAAAGCTGCATTCTCATTACGGGAAGTGCCACATTGAAGGGCAACCGTCTGAGAGTCCTCAGTCGTGCCGAAACGCCGCTCCTGGGGCGTCAGCGCCGCGAATCAACGCGACTGTTGCGCCCTGACAGCCTCGAATCGTGTTAGAAAAGCACACCTGGGACTTCATCACCGCGAATCAACTTTACTATTTTGCGCCACGACAACCCTAAATCGTACCAGAACGCCAGCTCTGGGTCTGCAACTCAGCGAACCCTTGAAAGTGCTGCAAACGGTTCAAACGAATGTGCGCGGCGCCAAGGCGCGAGCAACATGTTCAAGAGGAGTTGTCCTCCTGCCTTGAAGTTGTTGCAAGCTGTAAGCTGAATGTGCGTGGCGCCAAGGCGAGAACAATAGTTTGGGAAGGAATCGCCCTCCACTCTTGAAGCTGCCGCATACTGTTAAGGCGAATGCTCGTGGCGCTGAGGCGAGAGCAGCAGTTTGAACAGTAACCGCCCTCGATGCTTGAAGCTGCCGCAAAGTTTTACGACGAGCGTGCTCCGCGCTTGGGCGACAACGACATTTGAGGGAAACGGCCCCCCATCTTTGAAGCGGTTGCAAACACGGCTTTCCATCTTTGAAGCAGTGGCAACCGTTTAAGACGACCATGCGCGGCGCCAAGGCCAGTGCCACATCTCGAGAAACGAGACCCGCGCTTCATCCCTGAATCAGCTGCTAGCAGTTCATTTGGACGGGTGTGATCGGCGCCGAGGCGAGAGAGCCACACCTCGAAAGCGTTCAGTCTTCCCTCAGGGGGACTGTTGCAGTGTCTGTTTAGCCTTAAGGGCCAGGAGTGGTGAGGAAGTACCGGGCGAGACGCCCGGCCCCTCTATACCGACACGTTCGGGGGCGTGACGGTGTGGGGTGTTTTTTTGTTGGGGTAAGGGGGAGGGACGGAGAGAAGGAAAGCTGTGGGCGAGGACCCGTCTCGCACCCCCCCCCTCCGTCGCCTCCTTGGAGGAGCCCCGAGGCTGTGGAGGAGGGGGCGGCCCCTCTTGTTCTGTTCTGCTCCCCCCTCGAGGGGAAGGGAAGGGACGGAGAGAAGGAAGACGCGGGCGGGGACCCGTCGCCTTTGTGAGGCGCCCCCGAGGCTGTGGAGGCGGGGGCGGCCCCTCTCTTTCTGCTCTGCCTCCCCCCTCCGCGAGGCCCACGCCCGGGAAGGTCCGCGCGGGGCTCGAGTGGTGCCCCGCCCTCAGAGATCGGAGGCCGGCCGGGCGGCCCGAGAGCTCGTCGTTCCGGCCGGCGGGGCCGACGTGAGCGTGCTCCCGCGCTTGGCTTGATCTGTTCGCGGCAAGAGCTCGTCGTTCAGGCCAGCGGGGCCGACGTGATCGTACTCCCGCGCTTGGCCGGGCGGCAAGAGCTCGTCGTTCCGGCCGGCGGGGCCGACGTGATCGTACTCTATTCGTGAATTTAATGGGTTTTGGGGTTTTAACAAATGGTCGCAGCCACGCAGGGGGCGTGCGCAGCGACGTCCCAAAATGCCCGGTCTCCGGTACTTCTGCGTGGCGGCGCCCCCGCAGGCACGCAGAGGGCACGCGTGGCGACGGGGGCGTCGCCACGCAGAGCTTCTAAAGACCAAGCATTTTGAAAACCAATTGTTGCCACTACTAAAGTGCTCCCGCGCTGGGCCCGCTCGGTTCGCGGGCACGTCTGCCATCGCAGGCTGCCGCGGGAGGGAGTACAGTCGGGGCCCTGAAGAAGGAACCCTTTTCGTTGGGGAGGGGCTCCGCGTTCCCTAAGTGTTTCGCAGCTTGCCTCAGGTGTTGGTTCTGTCTTCGACAGGAAGTCGAAGGTGAACTTGTGGAAACAAAGGACCTCGTTCCTTATTTAGGGTTCCTTAGGTCAACGCCCCGACTGTACTCCCGCGCTTGGCCCGATCGGTTCACGGGCACGTCTGCCATCGCGAGCTGCGGCGGGAGGGAGTATAGGCATACGAAGCATGGGCGTGACTAGCGGCAGGAATGGGGAAGAGAAGTGTGTGTGTGTGTGTGTGTGTGTGTTGTAGCTGTTGCGTCAGTGCCAGTACGTAGCACCCCCCAGGAGCATAGGCATAAGAAGCATTAGCGTGATTAGCGGCAGGGATGAGGAAGAGAGGTGTGTGTTGTATCTGTTGCATCAATGCAAGTACGTAGCATCCCCCCCCGCAATTGTGGATTAGAGTGAGGGGTCGTGCAGGTGGGTCTCGGGATGGGTGGCTGGTGTGTCGCGGGCGGGGGGGGGGGACGACAACACCAGACATGCACCGCAACGATAACAGGAGTCTGCGCAGCGGAGCATACTTCAGTCATGCGCCCATGGACCATGGATGGCCGCCCCCCCCACACACACATTCCAAGATGCATATTTGAAGGATAGACACATGTGTGTGTACATACACAGATGAGTATATGAATATAAATATGTGTTGCACATATTCCCCAGACCGTGTGTGCACTCAGGGGTTTATGATTTCTTTTCTAAGGAACTGGGCCTGGTTGGCGGTCTGCCGGCTCCGTGTTTCCCGTCGCCGCTCGTCGCCTGGGCCTGGTTGGCAGTCTGACGGCTCCGTGCTCGCCGTCGCCGCTTCGTCGATGCCCCGTCGCCGCCTAGATTGCACAACATGGATTGCACCAAATAGGTTGCACCGCACATATGGCACCGCATAGATTGCACAACATATATTGCACCATATCGATTGCCCTTCGTCGATTGCACCGCATGGATTGCAACACATATGTTACATCACATGGTTTGCACTGCCTATGTTGCAAGCCATCTCTTGCACATCATGTTTTGCACTGCAGCACACAGGTTGCAAAGCATGTGTCTCACAACAGCTACTGAACCACATAGATTGCACCACGTAAACTGCACCACATATATTGCCCCCTAGATTGCACAACGCTTACTGCTAGAACAACTCTGTGTGGTGTCCTTGCTGGCTAACACACATTTATATACATCTGTACGGTCGAGAAGTTATTGGACAGCGTGTCGCTCCGCCAGTTCTAGCCCACCATGTTGCGACGCGGCACGCTATCCATTTCCTGGCCCCCCAGCGTCAACGTTCCGAATCGTTCCGAGTTTCTGCCCCGTGGAGCGGAGCGACACGCTATCTGCTCGGAAGGCATAGAGTGCCGCCCAGGCCGCAGCGGCGACACGCTATCCAAAAGTCCCCGACTGAACGTCTCCGATTTTATGTATATGTGCATAGATATATAGATAGAGAGAGAGAGAGTTGTCGATGGGCATGTCTATGCAGAGCGATGGGCAGCAGCACACTACAGTATACACGCTTCCATAGGTACATGTGTATGTGTCCATGCACATGTGGTGACACATGGCGCCTGCACCTTTTTTCATCCTCAGGGTCAGGAGGCCGAGCGGGCTCACACTTTCCTTGGGTGCGTCGCTAAAGTGGGATTCCGCAGTGCGGATTCTCGTCCTCGTCGTCGGCTCCACCCCGCGACCCGCCCACCCGCGCCCAGCCCCGCCACTTACCCGCGACCCGCCTGCGATCCGCCTGCGATCCGCTCCCCGCCACCCACCCGCACCCACGACCCACCCGCGACCCGCCGCGCGATCGGCCCGTCGACCCGCCGAGGGTTCGTCGGTCGGTTACTCACCCACGTTGTTTTGAACAACCTCGGCGCCTGCAGCGAGCTCGTTGCGCAGCAGCACAATCGGACGCACCGGGGGGTTCCTTCACCCGTGCTTCCGAGCCTCGCGCGCTGGAAACGCCCCCTCCCCCCTTCAGCTTTACCCGTTCATAGATGCACGCATGTGCACACTGTGTTTGTATCTATACACACGTATACATTTTTATGCGCGGCCATTCGTGTATACAAGTTGCACGTGCGTGCCCATGTCCATGCAAACACATGTGCAGGATGGGTGTTTGTGTGTGTTGTGTGTGTGATTGGTAATGTGCGTGTGCGTTTTGTGGGTTCTGTGTTGTGTGCGTGTGTTGCGGGATGGTTGTGCCATGTGTGTGAAGTTTGTGTGTAATGTGTGGTCGGTGTGGTGTGTGCGTGTGTTGCGTGTATGTGTGGTCGTGCGTTTTGTGTGCTGCTTGTGCTGGATGTGTGTTGTGTGTAAGTGTGGTGTGCGTGTGTTGTGCGTGCGTGCGTGCGTGCGTGCGTGCGTGCGTGCGTGCGTGCGTGCGTGCGTGCGTGCGTGTGTGCGTTCGAGTGTGTGTTTGCGAATGTAGTTCTGTGTAAATGCAGATGTTGACTTCAAAGGAGAAGGTTATAGGGTCTCTTGGGTGGTGGTGAGGTCCCTGAGGACAGGAGAGGACGATGTGGAAGATGAGGACGATGAGGAGGAGTAGAGTAGGAGGAGTAGGAGGGCTCTCTCCCTGCTTGTTCTCCCTTCGCTTGTTGTCCGCCTCCTCTCTCCACCTCCTTCCTCGCCCATCTCGCCCTCCCACCTCCCTCCCCCCCTCCTCTCCCTCCTCCCTTCGTCCCTCCATCCCATCCCTCCTTCTTTCGTCCCTCCCTCCTTCTCTGCCCTGCTCCCTCTTCCTTCCTCCCCCCTCTTGTTTTTTGTTTAGGCTGTGCTTCCCGGAGGCCGTGGGCTCCAGACCGTAGAGGTCCCATGCGGAGCTCGTGTTGCCGCTCCTGCGTGCTTATGTCGGCTTGCAGCCTCAGCCGGGAGCCGCTCTTGAAGCGAGGATGGCTCTCTCTCGGGCCCGAGTTGCCCGGGGCTCGGCCAAGATCGAGGCCCTCGGGGAGCCCTGCCCCACGAAGCCCCCTAACCCTGCCCGCCGGCGAGCCAGGGACTGGCTCTCGGAAGGCAGGCGCGCAGCAACTGGGATCAGGCTCGTCCGGTCCAATCCGTAATCTGCTTGGTTTTCCTCGAGGGCTGGTGTTTTTGTTATCACCCTCGCCCAGTATTATATAGTTTAAACGACGCGAAGATCGGGACAAAATCGGATCGGGATAACTCGAAAGCTATGAGAATCGGCGGGTTTGGAGGATGTATTGGGCGCCGCGGCCGCTCCAGAGCGTTCCGGAACGCTCTGAGAGCGCTCCGGAACGCTCTGGAGCGATTTATCCCGATCTTGGCCCTGTTTTAATAGTCGTCGTTGCGATCTCGGATGCTTCGCCGTCCTGTGCTGCGCCCTGCGTCTTCTCCCTGGACTCCGGCACGAGTGGCTCGCAGTCCAGGCCGCCCTCCCGTGGCACTCGCGGGGGGGGGGGGGCATGGCCGTCCAAGAAGTCGGCCGAGAGGCGCCCCCCGGGCGCATCCCACAGAAGTCCTCCGAGGCGGATCCCGGCACGGCCAGATCTCGATGCCGACATGCCGACCCCGCATAGGGAAGGAGGACAGGGGGCCACATGCGAGCCCTACCCCTACCCCCCCACGATGGCTGAAGGGGAGGGGGGGGGGGGTTCACTTCGCTCGGGGGCTCCCGAACGAATGGCACCCCACCCTCCGGCTTACAAATCGTGGGGGGTAGGGGTAGGGTTCGCATTTTGGCCCCCCTCTAGAGAAGGAGATGGAGTCCGGGAGGACCAGGGTGGAAGGCAGGAGGAGGAGGAGCATGGGATCAGCAAAGCGAGGGTGAGGGCGAGGATGAGGAAGAGGATGAGGATGAGGATGAGGATGAGGGTGATGATGATGATGCTGATGCTGATGCTGATGCTGATGATGATGATGATGATGATGATGATGATGATGATGATGATGATGATGATGATGATGATGATGATGACGATGAGGATGATGATGATGATGATGGTGATGATGATGATGATGCGGATGCTGCTGATGATGATGATAATGATGCTGATGCTGAGGATAATGGTAGTGGTGGTGATGATCGAATGTATGATGGTGATGATGATGTTGATGGTGAAGATGATGTTGGTGGTAATGGTGATGATGCTGCTGATGATGATGGTTGTGGATATGGTGATAATGATGATGATTGTGCTGATGGTCGTGATCGTGATGATGATAATGATGAGGATGATGGTGATGGCGAGGATTATGAAGATGATAATGATGATAACGATAATGATGATGATGATGGCGATGGCCATCGTGGTGATTACGATTGTGGAGATGGTGATGGTGATGGTGGTGTTGATGAGGATGGTCATGGTGTTGTGAGGATGTTGATGAGGATCCTATGTTATGGCGATGTTGATGAGGAAGTTATGATGATGATGATGGTGTTGTAGATGCCGATGCCGATGTCGATGACGGTGGTGATGACGATGATGATGATGCTGATGATGATGACTGTTATGACGACGGCGGTTCTGATGATGATGATGATGATGATGCTGGTGGTGATGACGATGAGGCTGAAGATGATGACGACGTTGAGTGTTATGATGACGTTCATGATGGTAGTGATGCTGATTATATTGTGAATGATGATGCTGATGATGATGATGATGACGACGATGACGAGGAAGGAGGAGGAGGAGGAGGAGGAGGAGGAGGAGGAGGAGGAGGAGGAGGAGGAGGAGCGGGACCCCGGATCTTTCCAGGTTCCTTCTCCAGGATTTGTTTTTCCCCACATCCTGAGTGGGGTTCTTGTTTTCCCAGAACACCCTCTCCTTCCCACCCACCTCCCGCTCCATCTTCCATACAGCACAATATTATTCCTACCACACACACCATACCATACCATAGTTCCTACCACACATACCGTACCATACCATACCAGGGAGGCCCCGCCTGAGCGAGGAGGGTATCCGCAAACCATACTATTTACATGGTTTCGTGCCCCTCCCACACCTCCAGGGAGGCCCCGCCTGAGCGAGGAGGGTATCCGCAAACCATACTATTTACATGGTTTCGTGCCCCTCCCACCTCTCCAGGGAGGCCCCGCATGAGCGAGGAGGGTATCCGCAAACCATACTATTTACATGTTTTCGTGCCCCTCCCACCCCTCCAGGGAGGCCCCGCCTGAGCGAGGAGGGTATCCGAAAACCATATTATTTACATGGTTTCGTGCCCCTCCCACCCTTCCAGTGAGGCCCCGCCTGAGCGAGGAGGGCATCCGAAAACCATACTAGTTACATGGTTTCGTGCCCCTCCCACACCTCCAGGGAGGCCCCGCCTGAGCGAGGAGGGTATCCGAAAACCATACTATTTACATGGTTTCGTGCCCCTCCCACACCTCCAGGGAGGCCCCGCCTGAGCGAGGAGGGTATCCGAAAACCATACTAATTACATGGTTTCGTGCCCCTCCCACCTCTCCAGGGAGGCCCCGCCTGAGCGAGGAGGGTATCCGAAAACCATACTATTTTCATGGTTTCGTGCCCCTCCCACACCTCCAGGGAGGCCCCGCCTGAGCGAGGAGGGTATCCGACAACCATACTATTTACATGGTTTCGTGCCCCTCCCACCCCTCCAGGGAGGCCCCGCCTGAGCGAGGAGGGTATCCGCAAACCATACTATTTACATGGTTTCGTGCCCCTCCCACCTCTCCAGGGAGGCCCCGCCTGAGCGAGGAGGGTATTCGAAAACCATACTATTTACATGGTTTCGTGCCCCTCCTCCCAGCGGGGCCCCGCCAAAGCGAGGAGGGCATCAAGAAAATGGGTCCCACGAAATCGTTAATCTCTTTATGTGGGGAACTCCGTTAGCATAATTTTGTTTCTGAGTCGTTCGGTGACGGTTCAATTGCCCCCAAATTCAAATTTCAGGCTTGATATCTCCGAGGAAGGAGAAGCAATTCCACCACCACCACCAGACTAACTACAGCAAGGAGGCCCATGGTGCCCCAACGAGCTGGATATTTGAAGACTCTCGAGCAGGACGCCGCGAGGCAGGGGGACCACACCACCAGGTCGGATTGCCCCCCCAGGCCCCTCGCGAAGGTGGTGGTCGTGGTGGTGGTGCTGCTGCCGTTCCCTCGATTCAAGATCTCGCTAGGGCTGGCGCAGAAACACGTCAGACTCGATTGCCCGTCGGTCGTTGAAAGTAGGTATGTTTGGATGCCCAAGTCCCAATCTACTTTAGGCGCCTTCCTACTTCGCAAGGGTCGAGTGGCATTCCCTCCGCCCCCGTCCTCGTGGGGCGGGCGGACGGCGGACGCCCAATATACTTTAGGCGCCTTCCTACTGCATGCTTCTACCCACTTCTTTCGACCGACGCGTGCAGTCAAGACGCTGAAATAAAGACCGCCTTTGGCTCAGGAGGGGCCTTGGTCTTCGGGCCGTTCCTTGGCTCTCGGTCGGGGAGAGCCCCTCCGGTCCTCATCCGGCGGTCCTCTTGGAGGAGGAGGAGGAGGAGGAGGAGGAGGAGGAGGAGGAGGAGGAGGAGGGGGAGGATCAGGAGGAGGAGGAGGCGGAGGAGGAGGAGGGGGAGGGGAGGAGGGAGGAGGAGGAGGAGGCGGAGGAGGCGGAGGAGGAGGAGGAGGGGAGGGCAGGAGGAGGAGGGGGAGGGGAGGAGGAGGAGGAGGAGAGGAGGAGGAGGTGAAGAGGAGGAGGAGGAGTGGAGCTAGGAGGAGGAGGAGAAGGAGGAGGAGGAGCGAGGAGGAGGGGAGGAGGAGGAGGGAGGCGAGGAGGAGGGGAGGAGGATAGGTGGAAGGATGAGAAGCAGGGGTTCTGAGGAGGAGGCCGGCCCACGCCGAGGCCGGTGCAGAGTCCCGGGGCTGCCGAGGGCCTGGTGGATGCGGCTCGCCGACTCGCCGCTGGCGGTGGCCCTGTGCGGCGTGGCGGCCGGGGGCGGGCTTGCGGACGGCCTCGGCGCCTCGGCCCCCCCTTGTCTCCTCCTCCTCCCTCCTCCTCCTCCTTCTCCCTCCTCCTCCTCCTCTCCCTCCTCCTCTTCCTCCCCCCCCCCCCCTGGAGCCGGCGGTCCCCTCGTGACTTTCGGGTCACGCCTCGGCGCTGGCCGCGGCATCGCTCGGACGTGTGCATTTTTCCTTCGGCGAGGACCATCGAGGAGCATCCTTGATTTTTTTGGCGAAGAAAAGCCACGCACGAAACCGAAAAAAACACACAGGGAATGGACGTCCGAGCGATGGCCAGGGGCCCGCGGGCCACGGCGATCGACGCTGTGTCCGCACGGCAGGCTCGCGCGCTGCGAGGGCGCGGCGGCCGCCGCCGCCGCCGCCGCGGCCCCTAAGAGGAGGTCCGAGGTCCTCATCTGGTGTCTGTGCGGGGTTTTGGGGGCAAGTCCAGGGTTCTCTCCCAGCACGTGCTCCCCAGGCTTTGTTCCGAGGTTCTTGCGGTGGGGGCGTTCGGTAAGGAACGAGCCCAGGAGGCCGCAGACCCTGGAGGCTTCCTTATCTGATGAGGGCAGCGATGACATCCATGGCCGACCCACGAGTGCACTTCCCCTGGCTTCCAGACCCTGGATTCCTTATCCAAAGGTTCCTTATCCAATGCCCTCACCGTGTTTCTGTCTCGAGGAACTGGGCTCGTGTGCCGCCCAAGCTGGCTTGTCGTCGCCCCTTCGCTGCCCCGTCGCTGCTCGTCGCCGCCCGTCGTCACCTCGTCACGGGCCTGTGTGTGTCGTGTGTAGGCCTGGCCGGCTTGTCGTCGCCCCGTCGCCGCCCCGTCGCCGCTCGTCGCCACCGGTCGCCGCTTGGTCGTTGCGCACCATCTAGCTTTCACCACATAGGTTGCGCCTCAGAGCTAACTACGCATGGCTCACAGATCGTAGCTCGCACCACGTAGGTTGCACAACATGGCTTACGCCACATAGCTCGCACCTCATGTTCCACTGCATGGCTTGCACCACGTAGTTAGATTGCATGGAGGTGATGCACGCACGGGAATGACTAGCGTCTCGTCTTTCGCCGTTGCTCCTCGAGCAATTTCACCTGGAGAGGTGGATGGCCGCGCTCCCTGGCCGCCTCGCGGGCCAAGCAGTTGGCCAAGCGGTCCATTGGGGCGCTGGTGTGCTGGGGCAGGCGCGGGCACCTGGCTGGGGCGCGAACGCGGCGGCGAGACCGCCTGTTTCTGCAAGTTCGAAAGCAGGGGCGCGGACTCCGGCTTGATCGCGCTCTTGCAGTGCCAGCTGGACAGGTGCGGGCCCGAAACCTAGTGAGAAGCGAGGCGTCGCGGGCGGAGTGGCGCTTGAACGACTGGGTCTTCGTCGCGGCGCTCGTGGCGATCGCCTTCGTCCTTGGTCTGAGGGTTCGGGACTGCGGAGTGCCTGGGAGGGCTCTTGCCCGGCGCAAGCCTACCCTTGCCCTGCACCGTGCGCCCGACGCTGCCAAAGGTCAGCCGCAGAGCTACCACTCTCAGGGACCTGAGGAGGCTCCAGCGGGTCCTCGTCTACTACGATCGGGACGACGGCTGCTGGCACGAGCGCGTGCTATTAGAGCCCTTGGCGGGCACGAAATGGAGCATCGTGACACCACACTGGGATTGGCACGACGAGGAGCTCAATGACGCGCTGGACCTTAGGCCCGTGGGGGTGCGCGGAGGCATCGGCACGGTGTGCGGCGTGGTCTTGCGGATTGACGCGCTGGAGTTCGAGTGGAGGCGTGGTGAGCTGGAGGCTGCGGCGCGCCGTTTCGCCGCGGCGGTTCGCGAGCAGGAGTGAGCCTGATGATGAGCCTCCTCCTGTTGCTGACGGCCGTGCCGATGAAGCGGAGGGCGTTCCTCCTCCCTTGCTGTTCGTTGCCGGGCCTCCGTTTGATTCTTGATCTCGTGGTGGTGAAGGTGGGCCTACACGCGACTGGGACCCTGGGAGGCTGCCGAGTCTCGCGCTGGCTACGAGATCGGCGACAGCAGGTGCGGCCGAGGGTCGTGTTCGGCGATCGCGGCGTGCTAGAGCTGTCGGACGGAACTGGCAGCTCTGTTGTCGTGGGCCTCCCTGGTTCGGTCTCTCGCCCCACGACGCGCGCGCCCGAGGACATCAGGACGCTGGCGGCGCAGCTTGACAGTGCCGGAGACCGCTGTAGGGCGTTTGCGAACGTTGTCTACGCCATGAACCTGCAGGCGGTTAACGGCTGGCCCAGCGCGGGCCCGCGCACATGCACGTGGCTGCTACTGCACTTCGTGAAGCTGGGGTACGCACAGATGCAGCGCCACCACTGTTGGCGGCAGATCCTCGGCTTGACGGCTGAGGATCCAGTTGTGGACGAGCACGCTTTCCTGAGCGAGATGCTGGAAGTCGGCAGGCAGGTCGACCAAGTCTGCTTCCCAAACCTCGTATTCTTCGAGATGGTGCGCAGGAGGTGCCAGCTGTGGGAGGAGGTGTGCAGCAACGCCCTTCGCGAGACGAGGGGGGGCAGCGGCGCTGGTGGTGCGGCGTGGCCGGGCGAGCGCGAGATCTTCCTTGGGCATCTGACCGGGCGCGGCTCTGCCCTGGTGGACCCGCAACTGAAGGAGCGGGTCGCGGAGCGCTTGCAGAAGGAGACCGCAATTCTGAAAGGGAGGCGCAAGGCCCGCGGAGAGAAACTTCTTGCAGCCGGCATCGCCCCCTCTGGATCAGGGGCGCCAGTTCCCGACGTGGCGGCGACGCGCACGGAGACTCCGCGCCCCGAGTCCAAGCCGAAGGCCGCCAAGCCGATGGCCGCCGAGCCGAAGGGCAAGGCCAAGACTGGGGCAGACTACCCGGTGCCGCAGTTATGCTTCGTGGACTTGATGGCGTCGTCTCCAGACTTCCTACCGACCCCGCGGGGCGTCGGCCTGGACGCGCAATTGCGTGGCCCAGCTCGATTCGTTCGGGGCGCGACCTGCTCCGCGGCGTCGCGGCGCAAAGCGTGATCGGCATAATCGACGGTCATGAGACGGACTTCGCAGCTCAAACCCTCTGGTGGCCGAGGGCGACAAGTTGCCCATGATGCGGCGTCGACAAAGGTCCAGCGCGTCACTGTTCGCCGCCTCGCTGGGCCCCCTGGGACAGCGGGCTTCCCGCATTCGCGCCGCGGCGCGCATGCTTCGTGGAAGACGCTGCAGGGGCTTTGACCTGGCCGCAGCGAAGCCGAGCCTGAAGGTGGCAGGGCAGTTTGCCAGCCAGGCATGGTTTCACTGCCCGGCAGTGGCGCCAGTCATATCGAGCTGGGATCGTTCGCGCCGGAGCCGCTGCGCGCGATGCTGGGGGCTCGCCGCGGTCCATTGCGAGAGCCTGCTGAAGTTCGAGCATTTCCGAATCTTGCAGTGGAAACTTACGTTGCCTTGGCCCGACTAAGCGGGCGCGCAGGGGGCTGCGACGTCGGCCGCGCCTCGTCGGAGCTGTTCGGCGCAGGCGCGGCCGTGGTGGGCCTTGGGAACGCCGGGCAGGAGATCGGATTATTCCTGGCGCGGCGCAAGGAAAGCGCGCTTCGCCGGATCGCCGACGCTCGCGCTGCCAACGCTTACTTTGTCGAGCCATTTCGCGCCTAGTTCGCGGGCCCCGCCCTCGCCGCCGTCGAGCACCGCGGGCCCGACATGCTTGGCTTCGGCGCTGGTGATGTGGGGGTTCTTCCCGCTGCCGCCCATCCAGGCGCCGCATTTGCTCGCTGCTCTCCAGGGTCTCCTGGGTCTGGCGCGCACTTCCACGGGCTTGAAGTTCAGATTCAGGGTCGTGCCAATGGATTGGGGCTGGGCGGTCTACCTGATTCAACTGGGGCACCTTCATGTCATGGGTGGTGCCTTTCATAGCGGTTGTTGGGTGTTTGGCAGGCGACCGGGAGTCGACCTCGGCCAAGGGGACGTGAAGGTGCTCTGCGTTCACAACTTTTCGGCGGCTTCCGTTGACCAGGGGCCGTGCGGGAGGCCTTGGCTAAGAGCTGGGTGGTCAACGCCATCGGAACTCCCCAGGCGACGAGGCCGACCTCCTGGGGCGCGAGCTGGACCTCGCCGCGGGTCGCTGGCGCCACAAGCCAATGCGCCATTGGCGGCTGGCGGGCGCCCTCGACTACCTTCTAGACGCCGAGGGCAGCGAGGTCTTTGGGCAAGAGATGGAGCGCGTCCTGGGCGAAATCGTCGCGGCGCGCACGCTGAGACGCGAGTCGCCCGCCACGCTGTCCGCGTGCTGCATCTTCGCGGGGGTGTCGTGGCCGAAGGGGCAGCCGCTGTGGGCGTCTAGGTAGGAATTGTGCTGGGTGCGGTCGCTCCTGCCCTGCGTCGTCGGTGACGAGGGCAAGTCAAGGCCATGGCCGCCCGCCGTCGTTGCTTGCGACGCGCCCCCCTGGGGTTGCGGCGTGGTGGAGTGGAGACCAAGTGGGAGGCCGTCGAATTCTCCCCGGTCGCGGACGGTTGTCGGAGCGGGCCTGCGCCCGGGGGCCGCCGGCCGCTGCCCGGGCGCCTAGGGGTCGCGCCCCGGAGGCGGAGGCGGCGCAGGCCCCGCGCGCAGCGGTGGCGCTTTCTCGCCGCGCGTCGGAGTTCCCCGCCACAACGCTGGCGGGCTCTGGGTGGCGCGCGGCGGGCGGCGGGCGCTGGTGGCGTCGCGGGGCCATGCAGCCTCGAGGCCGCGCAGGCCAGCTGGGCCGCGCCGCGCGCGGCGAAGCGTGCCCAGCGGCGCGGGATTCGGCACCTTTTTTGGGGTGACATTGCGTCTGTCACGTTGGCCTCGGCAAAAGAAATAGCGCCTGATCGCCGTTTGCTGTTCGCTTGCCGAGTCGTCTGCGCCCTGGTCATTGCAACTGTCATCCGGCAGCAGCGCCGACGGGCCCCCTCAGCGTGGAACCCGGGCGACCGGGCCTTTCGATGGCATGGTCTCTTCGTGCTCGAGCGCGGGCCCGAGCGCGGTGGCCCCCCTTGCGGCGAGCGACCTACGTGGAGAGGGGGGCCCTGTCGGCTCGGCACCCGGCGCCCCCGTCAACGGCGAGTTGAAGTCCAGGCCGGGCCGACAGGAGATCCGCTCGGTCTTGTTCGGGGCGCCTGTCTACGCGGGAGGCTGGCGACGCGGCGAAGGCGCCGACGCTGGGCAGGGTTGCCTCGCGTCGCAGGCGTGGGCAGCGCGGGCAGCCTGGCGGCGCCGAGGCGCGCGCCCGGCTCGCGCTCGAGCGGCAGCGAAATTGCCTTCGGTCGCCCCAGCTGGCGGCAGAGAAGGCGCGGCTGCCGGCGCAGATCGTCTACCCGCGCGCGCTCAAGGCCTTGCTGGCTTGGCCTCGCCTGGCCCCCCTCCCGTCGCGGACTTGCGAGGAGCGGGGCTGCGTCGCAGTTGAGTTCGCGCAGTGGCTCTTCGACGTGGGCGGAGCGGCGGCGACGGCGAAGCGAGTCGGCCCCGCGCTGCCGCGCGGCGACCCTCTCCTCGGTCCGGGGCCGCTGAGCGCGACCTTCCCCGTCCTGCAGCAGGCGCCACAGGATTGGGTTCAGCAGAGGCCAGAGCTGTCGCGCCCGCCCTTGCCCTGGCCAGCGGTTGCGGCGGCGGCCCCGCGCCGGCTGGAAGGCGGCAAGCTCGCGGCGGCGCTGCGCGCAATGATCGCGCTCGAGACCTACACGCGCCCATCGGAGCTGCTGGCTTTGATTGCCGGCCACGCGGCGCCGCCGCTGCCCGGCGAGCCGGGCGCGGCGCGCTGGCTGACCTGCCTCGTCAGGGCGCAGGAGGCGTGGATCCCGTCACAGACGAACGCGTTCGATATCAGCGCGCCGTTGGATTTGGGTAGGCAGCGCCGGCTAGCCCGCTGCTCGGAGGCGCTCGTGCGCCGCCGAGGCCGCGGCAGACCGCCCCTCGAGCTCGAGTGCGGTGACTTCGCCGTGTCCTTTAGTTTGGCCCTGCGTGTGCGAAGTTGGCGCCAAGTTTCTGCAGCGCATTCCCTCCCCCTGGTGGAGGCGCCTGCCGCGACCGCGGCGCGGGCGCCAGGTCCTTGGCCGCCGCGCGGCGCGGGGGCTGGCGCGTCTTTCGCAGCGCGGCGCGCTGTGAGAGGCATGGGCTGAGGCTCGAGCTGCAGAAGCTAGGGCGCGGTCGCCTGGCCCAACTCCGGCGAGGCGCGGCCGGCATCGAGCGGCCCTCTGGGGGCTGCGCGCGTCTGCGATTTTGGTGCTGCCGTCCTGACCCTGGTTTCGGAAGTCTCCAGTGTCGTGGGCACCTTGTGATCTTCGTTTGGTTTGGGAAGCCTCGCCTTGGGCTAACTGGCAAGGGTCGAGGGTAGCTGCCCATCAAGCTCTAGAATGCCTTTTCCTGCCCATTGTTGCTTCTTCCTCGCCTCCGTCCTTCGTCGAAGCAGCGCGCAGAAGATTTTGACTAGAACTTGGCGTCTCCTGAAGAAAGCGACTAAGCAGTACAATGTTTGGAGGCAGGATTTGTCGGGGTGAGGTGCGGTGAATTTTATCGTCTTGACTCGCCGTGGCCTTAAGTAAAAAAACAGTGCCCCAGCAGATGACCTGTGAAGCTTCGAGCAAGGTGCTGAACAGAAAAAGTGACCATGAAAGTGGTGCACGGGAATGAATCGCGTCTCGTTTGTCGCCTGTGCTCTTCAAGTAACTTCCATGTGCCCGAGGCCGTCCCTGAGCCTCTGGTGCGATCGACACCAGTTCGACATCGATCCGAGTCCCAGACAAGTGCCCGATCCGATTCCGATGCGAGTTCCCGTTTCAATTTCTCCCGGTCCGATGTGGCGATTCTCCATGTGGTTCCGATTTCAAAACGCCCGATGGGATTTCGATTCCTGTCGGGCCTTCCGATTGGATACTGTCCTTCCTGCTTCGTGATGGGGAAAGCCTCTTTCTTCCCCCGACCACTCTGGGGGAGGGCGCCGACTTCTTCCTGAGGTGTGGGTTTCATTGTTTTTTTTGTGCCTGGTGCATTGAGTTATTGCGCTGCTTCGGGGCCCTAGGCCTTGACGGATCGATCTGGGTCGAGCAGCACCGTGCACGGATGCGGTCCAGGGCTCGGCTTTCGTTTGTTTGCGATGTTTTTTTTTGTTTCCCGAGCGAACTAGGATTTCAGGGAGTGGCCCATAATCGGCGGATGGCAAGCGATCGCAAAAGGTTGAAGAACTCGTGCGGTGCCAGAAGCCAGCGTTGACGTCAACGCAACGTCAAGTTGCCGTCGCCCTTACAAACTGTCGCCTCCGACTCTGGACGCCGCTGGGGTAGGGCATGGACCGTGGATGAGCAAACGCTCTGCCTCCAAAGGCCTGATGCTGTACCCATGCCACCATGCCCCCGTTTTCTGCCACACAACAAAAAACACGTACACCCTCCAATGGGTTGTTTTTGGACCTCATGGGAAGGTGACGCTCACCAACGGGAGCTAGCGACTTTGAACACCGCCTCCCTCCCTGAAGTTGTATGCGCAGTTCATCGGAAGGTGTTCAGTGGTGAGGGCGATGGGGGAGAAGGAGGGGGGATAGGAGGAGGAGGAAGAGGACGAGGAGGAGGAGGAGGAGGAAGGAGGAGGAGGAGGAGGAGGCGGTGGAGGCGGAGAAGGAGGAGAAGGAGGAGGTGAATGAGGAGGAGTTTCCTCATCACCTCCACCACCCCCTCTCGAGCCTGCCGAGCGCATACTCTGTGCCCCCTCGTGCCGGACCTTTTCGTTTCCTTACTTCTGGCGCCCAGCTTTTCCCATCTGCTGCGCACTGCGCCTGAGGCGGATTCCATGCTCCGTACACCTTAGGCGATGCTTAAGAAAACTGTAGTTTTCAGCCAGAGTCTCGATTATTCTTAACGTTTCAATGTAAATCCTAAGATTTCAATAGAAATGTTGGGTTTTTATTCATGTTCTGAGACTATGAATTTCTTAACCCATGATTTCTTATGCATTTCGCAGGGTGTATTGTCACACGGGCGCTACCACCATAGCCATCGAAGTTCGCCCGCGGTCGGGAGCCTTCTGCCCGGCGTGCCGCTGCGCCTCTCGGC